AGACATCTAACAGCGCAGAAAGCACCCAGCTGTTAAAAAAAAAACCACTCCACAGAGCCTTAACAACAGGTGGATTCACCTTTTTTTCTTCTAAATTGACTCCTGTCAGGTACAGCTGTTATGAAAGAGGAAATTAGCACCAGAAACAAAAATTATTTTTTTTTGCACTCGGCTGTAAATGTGTTTATTTCTGCTCCATTCCTGTTCTGGGCTTCATTTTTCAGATGTTATTGCGTGCATAAAACCCTTCTAACACAATTTCCATCCCATGATTCAACATGTCTTTACAGGACCCAACCCAGCATCCCTCTCTGTTATATGGGCAGACGCTTAAGTGTTTTATCAATGACTCCCACTGTGCAAATTAGAATTCGGGGTAGCGTCTGCATCCTGGAGATGTTCAAATACCACAGAAAGACACAAAGTGTTTTATATTATTAAATATCATTTTTAAAAATCTTTGCATTGACAAGAATCGTATCTGCTGCTTCTGACAGCCGTTGAGCTTGGGATCTTAGGGTTCTTCCAGCTGTCAAATCCCAATTTAACCCCAGCGTGCTCAGCAGTTTGAGAAACACTGGTTTAACCTTAAGGTATTGCTGGTGAACTGCACATAATCTGTGTCCTCCGAATGCTCCATCTGCTTCACTTTAGAGAGGGCTGAAGAACTCGTCACGGCAGCATAATACACAGTACAACACGTTGTACGTATAAACACATCTACGTGCGATATACATGAAACCAGACGAGCAATGAAAGGAATCAAAAGAAGCACTGGCATAATATAATAGAGTCTAAAAACTTTATTTAAAAAACCTACACATGTGTTATGGCTGCAGGCATGCATACTGTACATATAAATTCACACCTACAGTTTAACGTCCGCACACGCAGTATCAAATAAGTAGAGCTGCAGCTATGTAGGTTGCTGCTAAAGTTTCCTTATTTCCCCCCACATGTTCATCACAGTTGGATCACTGTTTTACATCAAATACATGCGAGCTTTATCAAAACACTTCATATGTAACTAATTCAGCTATGGATATATGTGGTTTTTAGAATACTTAATGTGTACCTGAGGGACATTAGTAACTTTGACAGCCACCGAACGAGGATGGGCTCACTGATCAATAACGGAACTCATCAACTATGACAGCATGCAAAATATAATGAATAGATAAGTAGATATAAACTATAATTAATGATTTTTAAACATTATTAATGAGGAATAAAGTTTCATTAAATATAAAGTTGTTATTTATTAAATGTAGCTTACAAAGTTTTGGAATTTATTTATGATCAGTCACAAATTTAATTACCAACATTTTTGACAAAAAACCCCACATACTGAATCAAGAAGCTAAACTCAGGATCACATGATTCCCCCAGCTTCCCATTCAACCTCAGAATCAATTTCCTAAAAAACACAAAGAGTGATTTTTGAAGAGTTAAAATTAAGTGCTAATTTTGCTCAAGTTGGCCACCCCTGATTCTCAAATATGAATATTTCCAAATCAGTGCAGGGTGGTACAACGAAAACAGTAATTAATTTGCTCTTAGGCTCTCGTTTAAAGAATCATATTTTTGGTTAGCCTCTTGATTGGAGGTAAGGCCACTTTTCATTTTAATGTCCCCCTGCAGAGCACTGAAGACTGGCTTTGATTATTTGTTCATGCAGCTGCAGACTAAAACAATATTCCAGGCTCCCACATCACTCTGTCACACAAACCATACTCAGAATTCACTACACAGAAAATGAGTCAGTGACACTGGCTTCCTGTTAAATTTAGAGTCAATTTTAAGATCCTGGTCTTGACCTACCAATCCATGCACACCTCTGTGCATGGATTGGCACCAGCCTCCATCTTTGATCTGCTACAGCCCTATGTCCCTAGCAGGTCTTTGAGGTCATCTGATCAGGGCTTACTTGCTTTAAAAAATACTAAGAGGAGGACTAAGGGTGACAGAGCTTTTGCCACTGTGGCCCCTAGACTGTGGAACTCTCTCCCCCAAACATTAAGAACTGTGGACTCAGTAGCTGTTTTTAAAAAACAACTCAAAACTCACCTTTATAAAACTGCTTTTGGTTCATTTTTTGCCCGTTTTATTTTCTCTTTTTAAATCTTTTTATGACTTGTAATCTTATGTGCAGCACTTTGTGATTCTGTCTTGAAAGGTGCTATATAAATAAAAAAAATTTTATTATTATTTAAATACTTCCCACTTCCTGTATCAGTACTGGTATGTTGATTCAACGAGTACCCAACTACTGTACTTATTTGTTCATAGACTTTTTAAAATTAAAATTAACAAAAAAGTGCGACTGACCAACAAGTCGGTCTGAATAGTGATTTTTCAACTTGGGCTATGGGTACTTAAGTAAAAGCTTAACACATGAAAAGAAAGAACGACATACACAAAACAATTAGCCTAAGTTTTCTCATCCAGGTGATCCAAATAATTATCTTTATATTGAAGGATTATGAAAAGCTGCAACAATGTAAACAGGCTAAGTATGTAGTATTGCTATTTTATTTTTCTGATATGTTCACTGGTGTGGTCCCTGACTGTCACGTTTTTCAGCTTTAAGCAGTGTTTCTCTTTTCATTTTCCTCTGACAGTGAATTTTACCATAAAATTAAAATACTATTGACGGAGAAGTAAGGAGATGCTGCATGTCTTGCCGAGATAGAGATTGTGCGAATGCAGCTTGCGCCTTTGGCACACACCGTGCAGCGAAAGAAGATGATCCATTTGAATCAGCAGGTAAAAATGACCCTCAGGCCACTGGTTCTCTGTTACACAGTGAAAGTCTGAGGAGCACAAGTTTATGTTTTAAAATATATTAAAAAAAAATCTTCAGTTTTTCAGGTGTATTTTTAACATTAATTTATTATTTCTTCTCAAATGAGGAAGTGACTTATTTCGAGCTAAGTAGTGTGTCCAAAAAGAGGCAAGCTACTGAAATTCACGAAAGGTATGATGAATATAGCACAAATATTAGGTAGCTAACATGCTGCTGTGATAGCTACCATTTCCCAGCATGCATTTAGCTTTGGGGTCATTACCTCATGTGTTATAATATTTTTTTTAAATGAAAAAAAGTATAGATGTGAGTATGTATGTGTATTTTCAAGTGTTTTATTCAGGTTATTAATAAATAAAAAAAATTAGCATTGACAACAGCATCCCTATGAACACAGAGATTTATGTGATCTATCAGGACTGGAATGGAACAAAACCTCAGAAGCATGCAGAAGAGATACAACAACCGGAGAACTGAGAAAGTCAGAAGCACGTGACACAGATACAGCGCAGATACTGAGATAAAGATACACAGCATGGCATGTGGTGGATGCTTTTATCCTTAGCTCCCCACAGCGCGATGCGGGAATTTTTAGTGCAGAAGGCCTCAGTGGGAATTACCAAAAGAGGTTATAAGATGTAGGAGCAGCTATGTATCAGATGCTGTAAGCAATGCACTGAACTCCACAAAAGTACGCCTTCACAATCAAGATGCAGAATGAACGCTCATACATAAAAGATTATTCGATATATGGTATTTTCAGAGTTGTAACTCAGTGGTAAATTATTGATATGTTTAGAATGTGTTCATCATAAATGGAGTTGCATTTAAATTGTATGAATTATATAATAATAACAACTAAAAGACATTTAAACGGTTGAAGAATTCCCTACTAATCCAATAATTTTATAGTTGAATTATCCATATTGGCTTACCCAGCCAAACTAAGACCTAATATTTAAGGGCTACCAATTACTATCCTATACAAATAAACAAAGAGAGGTAAATTAGGAGCAGGGGAGGATGAAATGAAGCAACTAAAAGAATTGCAAAAGGAAGTTTCAAATATTCTAAGAACGCTTTGTGCAGCATGAAAAGAAACAGAGCCTGGCACTACACAAATCTATAGACCAACAGCAAGAAGAAAGCGCAATTTACAGAAGGAGTACGAGAGAACAGGTGGTATTCTTTGACCAGGTTATTAGCTATTATGTGCAGTGACAGCCCTAATGGAAAAAAATGACAGGGAGCTAAAAAGAGAGAAATGGAATGTGAAAGGTATGGCGCCTAAATAAAGGGTTGGGATAGAAACATATAAGCGATAAAATGGAAAAAGAAAAAAGACAATGAAGAAAAAGATGATGGAGAGAGGACTAAACAAAGGAACGAATGTGGAAAATTGGAGGATATAAATGCACAGTTTTTTCATTTAAATGTAATCAGCCTCAAATACAAGACGGTCCACTGATGCATGATTTATCCCAAGTTAGATTAAAAGTGGCTTTTCATATGCGTTCATATAATCACGCTGCTACTATCAGTCGAGGATTAATGTTGTTGACAGGGTCTGTACATACCTGCCCACCTTGGGTACTTGAATGATGTTTATCTACTTTCTGCTCATCGTTTCACACGTGAGCACAGGAAGAAACATAGAGAAAGAGGATACAGTAGTTTATTTCTGCATCACACCAAGCCAGACAAAGCTGGTGTCTCCCTGTGAACCCTAGATAAACAGGGATCAACAGAGGTAAGCATAGAACAACAGAGTCAAACGTGGAAGAATCAAGATTAGGGAGAGAGGGATTTTGGTGGGAGGTAGCGAGTTGGAGCAGAGGGATGGCTAAAGGAGGAGAGGGGAAGTTAAAAGGAAGTTAAACAAAACAAATTGTGTTTAGGGTAGGTTAGAGGACGAAAGGTGACTGAGGGGAAGAGGAAGAGGAGAAGATAGGAAGGATGAAGAGGGAGGACGAAAAGACGGAAGACAGGTGTGATCCTCCACAGCATGGGTGTTTATTCAGCCAAGAGCAGCAGCGGTAGAGCAGGGGATTATGGGATTACAGTCGGTGTCACTGGTCATGTGAGTCGACATGGACGCCACTGACCCCGCTTACTTTTAGTAAGGAAGCTTAAGTTGGCTGTGAAGGCGAGGTCAAACATGCACGCACACACACACACATTCACACACACACTCCTGCCCACGCATCTTTCTATCTGGCGAACGCACCGTCAATGTCTAGCCTCTCTTTCTGAATTTTTTTAACACTTTTATTTTCTTTTTTCCTTTCTGTTAGATTTTCCAACCCTCTATTTCCTCATCCTGATACATAGTCTCTCTCCTTTCAGATTTGCTGTGAAATTTTGTAATTTTGCTCCCTTCCTCGCTCTCTCCCTTCTGGATGTCAGACTTTTTTGCTGCATGTTATAAATGCACAGCTCATCCATGCCATCGCAAATCCAGCGGGATTCCGTGTTTTTTCTCTATGGGAGGTTAAGGAGTAAAACTGAAGACGGAGGAATCAAACATTTTAGTGCAGGAAGAAGAAACTCTCACATTGTCCAGTGTGTGAGGACACGGGAACAATGTTGGTCTTGGTAAGTTTCTTTGGTAAGTTTATTTATTTAACATAAAAAAAAGAATGATTTAAACCAAAATGCAAATACATTTAGCAAAAGCATGTATTTGAGGTGCGGGCAACAATGTTTTAGCCTCAAGTTACCATATCAACAAGTTGATGGTATCAGGTAAAAAGTTACATGTAGTTTAGCAGTAGTTGGTTTCACCGCAGTAGTGTCTTTGTAGAAATTTTTTACATTTTTTTTTAAACAAAATCTGCAGACCTGAGTTACATGCCATTCATTTAGAGAATCCACGATAATGTGCATAATATTTTGTCATTTTACACACTAGAACTTTGAATAAATGTAGAGTAGCCATCACTGTTACATTGAAAAAAAACTTCTGTGATGTCGTTTAAAAGTCTTTCAACAAATATGACAAATATGTAAGCACAAAAAATGTATTAAAGGTTTATAATACTGTAAACAGCCAGGAGCAGATTTGGGCATTTATTAACGTATTTGAATATCAAAAGTTTTATTTAGAGACCCATAATTGAATGCTGCATATCAGTAGTCACGCTGGTAAATACTGATACAATTTAACGATGTACAAGGTCGTCACTGGGGAACTTTCAATTGTTACAGAGTATTTTAACAATAAATATCCTGATAGCTGATTAGTAACTATGTTAAAGTTTTCATTAATCTTATTTTTATTTTTTTATATCCAACGTGTGTGATTCATGTGTGTGCTTTGTTATTGTATATAACAAACATATATATATATATATATATGACTCTATACATTACTATTTGATATTGTGCCCCTGTAGTGCATGTCTAAAAATTCAGAACTGCATTAGACAGTTTGCATTTCCATAACTATAATAATAAGGGCAACGGATGTGTAATATGAAATCTCGTTTTTTTTCTATGAAAATATATAGATATTGCTATAAAATAAAAAAAGGTGTTTTGAGGAACATTAAGTGCATAACAATCTTTTCTAAAATCTTTTTCTTATTTTGAGTGTTGTATTGCAATAATAAGTAGCATGACTCCTGAACAAAAGCCTTCTCAGTCGGTAGTCATTAGTTCAGGCAATTCTTGACTAGCTGTTAAACTTATAAAAAATGTATTAATTTAAAGGTTTTTGTTTGTTTGTTTTTAGTGCATAATAAAGCACCTTGAGCTCCAAGCGAATACATGTTATAAGTAACAGAGGTAAACCTGAGTAAACACAAAAGAACACCATTTGTCTTTTGGGGGTTTGGACACCAGGAATGCCAATGCATCTTTGGGTCACCTTCTGCTGTTTTAAATAAATGTAAATAAAAGTGACTTGACCTTTAGAATACAAATTGTATTTTTTGTACGCACAAACAAGCTGCCTCTCAACGACACCAACAAAAGCGGCAATCATTCTGAATGTTTCGCATCTACCAGGAAGGACTCACATTAGAGTGAGTCCCCACACTAAGTGGCTACCGTTAGGCAACATCCGTGGTTAATAATAAGTGGGGAAAATGCTCACCTTCAGAGATTGCGTGTCACCTTCTTGAGGTCGTTTCCTACTCTCTAACCTCTAATGTGGAAGTCCGGATCCATAAGCTTAGAAAGAGACCAAATTAGTATTGAGCAGAATTGAGTTCAGCTTATTAGTGCGGCTTTCCACAACATGACAACCTGTGCCCACCCACCAGGGGCCACAGGTTGTCATGTGGCCCCATGGGGAAATATATCGCCCACCTCTGCTCTAACCCTTTAGATTTCCTGCCCAACGTGTGTCATTACTATCATCATATAAATAATTGAGTGCTTCATATGAATGGGTTTTTTAATTGTTACTGTGGTTTTGGCTGATTTCCTGTCCGTATTGACTAATATCAGTATTTGTCTTCATTGAGCAAAAGCACACCAGGACAGACTGGACAGTGCAGCCACAAATTAAAGGTAAAAAGGACAGCAAGTTTCTAATATGCAGACAGTCTGTTGTACTGAACTGTAGCCAACTTGAAGTAGTCAGTACCAAAGATAGATAACAAGTTACAGTTGCCAGGCTTTCTAATGAAATCTAAATTTAATATTTTATGCTGTTATGTCTTGCTCTAATGGATTGTTTATTCATTAAGTGCATTTTTTTAATTGTATTTTTTTTTTTACCTATTTGATGATGACAAGATCAAATCTCAGTCTCAGCAGGTAAAAATAACAGATTTCCTTGTGTGATTGGCACAGCATGATAGCTTTCACGGGACACGAGCAGACAAATGAAGTGTGAGATCAAAAAATCTCAAGAAACACATCAGAAAATCACTGAAAATGATGGATTTATAATAAATTCATTAACTCCATTGTGGCTGAAAGACCCAGTAAAGAAAGGAAACTTTTTATGAATAAACAGCAGTGTAAGTAAACTATAACTATCAACTAAAGGGAAATCAATCTCCCATACACACAAAGCATTAATTTTCTTTTTTTTTTCCTGTGCAAATCTTTTGTGTAATATAAAGCTGACACATTGGGGGCAAACAGGACATGTAACCCTTACAGCTGCAGTGCCCTTTACTTGCTTGTAGAGGTGGAGGGTTCAGGATCCCAGACAGCAGAAGAGTTAACATAAACAAAGGCTTATTGACGACAGATTAGCTGGATAACACATTTACCACTCACTACTAGCAGACAGACAGGATTATATAGAGTATTATGGGATTATGGTTATGGTAAAAATAAATAAATAAATTAGAGACCAGCGTTGTAATACTAAAATACCTTGAAACAATAACATGTGATTGGGAGTTCATTCTGTAAAATATACATTACATCACTTAATGCAAATGCTTTCACTTTTTACCACTGACACATCTTTTAAAAGACCTTTGGTTGTATTTTAGAGTGCACCCCACAAATTGTTATGAAAATATTTGGAATATATGAGGTTCTAGCAAATTTTACTATAGGTGTCTGCAGTTAGAAGCTAAGATGCATCAAAAACACAGAGTAAAGTCTTCTCCAGTACATCCCAAAGACTTTTAATGGGATTAAGATCTGGATTCTGGGTGGCCAGACCATGATGATTCATGCTCCTAAAGCACTCTTTTGCAATTTGAGACTAATGAATTCAGCTATTGTCATCTTGGATCATGCAGAAGCCATCAGGAGAGCAAAAATCCACTGATGGACACACCTGAAGAATCGGTATTCAGAATCAGCCAACTTACTTTTTGAGCATATATTGTTGCTGAAGCTAGACTGGAACAGGAAAAATCTGGACTCCTCAGACCACATCACCTTTTCCCGTTGCACCCTATCAAATCCAGCTGACTGTGACAAAAGTGGGTGAGAACACCATTTGTCCATATTCTTAGTTAACATTCTTGTTTTGATTTAACCATATTTCACATGTAATCTGCAATAGGCAAACATGTTTATGTTTTGCACTTTTACAGATTATATAATATAACATCTTGGTTTAAATCAATTTCTACGAGTTTGTTAAGTTGTTATTTACTTCAACTGTTAATTTGTATTGTTTAAACTTACCTACCTGTCTTCCAGAAACAAAAGGAGGAAATGTAGTTTTACTTCCTGCTTTACAGCTTCTGGGTTAATCTGAGGTCACAGGAAGAGACCAAGTGCAGAAGGGGAAGAATTCTTGTAATTTCATAAAGTTGATTTTAGAGTGTTTATGGAGAAATAGACTTATTGTTGTAATATGTATTGATTACACCATAAAGTTTATGTTGCAAGTAAAGAGTAGTAGTGGAGGTTTGAATATCATTATGTTCATCTTACCTACTGAATGGAATAGTCCAGAGGAGAAATCGTTTGGTTAAGTGGACTATTTAAGCAGAACTCAGGTGTTTGAGGAGAGAGGACCAGGTCAGTGTAGCTGTGTGCAGTTTGACCTTAATTTCCCTTGATTTAAGTTCAGTTATGTTTATTTGAACTGAGTTAATTATAGAGTTGAGTTTCTTATTTGTTTCTTTGTAAATATTGTTTGGGTCACAAAATGGTGAATAAATCACTTGCCACACTGGACAGCATCAGTCTCCTGCACTTCTTTGACTGCTTAAGTCAAGTCCTACCACACTGACTGATAAGTGGTTTTCTTAAGGCAACACAGCTGTTAAGGTCCAATCCCTTGGTATGTTTTCCAACATGATTCTTGTTTACCGCATCACTTAGGGTTAAATGATCTGTAGCCAGCCAACTTATTCATCTCAAATCCAAGTGGTGATTTCTATTTTTTTTTAATTTTTTGGCCACGCAGTTAAGTTTACATTAAATCAATGAAATGACTTGAATACCTTGTACTAAAGCAGGAATATGATGAATTCATATAAATGATTCATTCTGTCTGAAGTTAACCAAGCCTTCTGCTCGGCCGTAACGATTTCTGTGAAACTGTCCAAACCTTGGATCATAAAAAGGGAAATCAAAGATGGTTTAACAAAAAACATTTAAAAAATTCGATGGTTCACGATGGAATGACCATCTTGAAAGTTGAATGAAAATGGCATTTTCTTCTTTTTTGTCACAACGAAAGTATTCTATAAGCTTTATTTTACAGTATTGTGTAATTTCTTTATATATCATTACAAGTTTGTCACAAATGCCACTTTAATTATGTATGCTCAAGTATTGTATGTGACTTTGAGTGCTGGATTTTTTATTTTTTTTATTTTTTTTAATCAGGAAGGCATTGATTCATTTTGATGATAAGAAAGATAGCTGAAATGTTCAGGCTTTAACACGTTTTTGAGATATTCACATTCACTCTCCGATTTCAATGCGCAGAGGAAGGCTTGAATCTTTAAAATAATTTGATGTGAATCTAAAATTCCACAGCAATCTTTATAAATGTTAACATTTATCAACATTACATTTTTATGCAAATCTGAGACAGTTAAGCAGGAAATGTTCTCGAAACTGTCTCATCTGAGATGGGATAAGATGTTAAGTTGCTGTTTAAAAATACATTAGTGTTTTCTATGTTTTTCACAAATGCATATAGTGTAGCTTTCTATCATAGCTGTGCAAACACTGTACTTTGTGTTATTTGTTCAAACGGGGGTGTGTGCAGACATTACCTGACGGACAGGTTATGTTAATTTCACGTTTCTTATTGGCTAAGTCGATCAAATGTATCGACAATTAAAACCACCAGATGTATAGAAGTATTGAGGGCAGTGGATGCTGTGACATCCTTATGCATTTATTTGCAAGCAGCATATTAAATGTTGCGGGAAGCTGGTGGCATTTAAAATTCTACTTAGTCCCCAGCAGGCACTCAAATAGTGGGACATTTCCCTTTTTAATGGCTTGTTAGAGAGTATGCAGCTATCTGTGCTCCCGAGAAGAGTTGCCACTGCTAACAAGCAATTGTTAGAACATTTTTCACCAAAATGTGACAAGCACCTGGTGAACAAAAAAAAAAAAAGATAACGTCTGGAAAGCACAAGAATGCAACAAGCCCTTGTTAACACAGAGGAATTGGACACAATTTGATAAAGTGAAGTAAAACTGACAAACTTCCTTTAAGTTATTGCAGATTTCTCTTGTTAATTTAGATTTAAACTGTAAAAGGATGGCACTCGTTTCGAGAGGATTACCTCTTACAAAAGGCCTAACATCCAGCTAGATGACACGCTTACCTTTGTTATACATACTAATGGGCTCCTGAAGGCTTTTATGTTTGTTTAAGAGCCGTCGTACTTTTAAGATTAGAAAGATTAGCCCTATTCGTTATTATTTATGTGCACACAGTCTGTCAGGTTGCTTTGCAGTTTTTAAACTGTACAGCTGCCAGAACATGTTACTGTGTACCAGTACAATTCACTGCTCCTAAAGACCAAACAATATTTTTCTTTTATTCCAAGAGCTCCACTGGATAAATGGTTTTCTCCCTACCTTGACCACAACCTCTGGCAGAAGAGGTGCCGTATCTCAGTAGGATCAGCATAAATGCATAAAAAGAAAACAATTCTGCAGAGACATGCACTAAATGGACAAAAGGTATTGGGCCACATGTCCTAATTCTTGAATTCATGTGCTTTCAGTCTCATGGCAACAGGTTTATAAAAATCATCTAGCCATGCAGTCTGTCTTTACGAACATTTGTGTAGTAATGGTTTGTTCCTAAGTGCTACTAGATATTCCATAATCAACTGTAAGTGGTATTATTGCAAATTAGAGGCATTTAGGAATTACAGTAAGTCACCCACAAAGTGAGGGTCCATGTAAAGTGTGGGGGTCACTGAGTGCTGAGGTGCATAATGCATAAAAGTCACGAGTGCTCTGCTGACTCAATAACTGCATCGCTCATGTCCTTTGGCATTAACATCATACAAAAACTTTATAGCATGGGTTTCCACAGACAAACAGTTCCAGTATTGGAAATCTCAAGTTCCCAGTATCCATGCCCAATGCTCTGTATATATGCACTGTATATAAAAGATGAACACTGCTTCTTGGTGTGATGAGTGTGCTAATGTGCTAATGTGTAAGAAACCCCTGGCTCCAAGAAATCTATGAGGAAAAAATGGCTCCACTTCTTAATTTATTTAATACTGTAACAGCCTCAAATCTTGTTGAACATAGCATCATTTTAATTTAGTAAAATTTACTCCAATTTATAGTAAAATTGACCATAAAGCAGGGTACGCTTTAGGGTATGGCTACCTTGTGTGAAGTCTCTACCTACTGAGTGGACATAGATTCACAGACAAATCCACCGCTGGCATGTCGGTCCTGGTCCAAGACGAAGGTTTGGAGGCAAAAATTTGATGATTTAAAATGTCAAAAAAAACCCCAAAAACAACGTGTAATATATCCACTCCTTATGCTAGGGCACAGATGCAGTGATATTGTCTAAAGTCACATATCTCTGCATGCTACCAATTTAATAGACAGTTTGCCTGGCATCTTTACCCCCATTAAAAATTTATATTTTGTATTTATATCGTGAGCAGATCTTGGTGCATATCTGTGTCAGTTCACACAGATAATGATGCTATGGTGTCACAGCAGAAGTATTCCTCTGCCACTTTTAGCAATGCAGAGTCTCCCTCCATTATCAGTTTTTCTGCCTACACAAAAAAGCAACACAAGTGCTGTTTTCAGTTCTTATTAGCTCATATCTTGCGCTGCCTGCTGAACAACACTCCTTCAGAGTACAACAACAGTGTCTCTCCCTCCCAATTGGACAATTGTTTCCATGGACAGTTCTCTATTTTCTAGTTTGTGTGTGTGTGTTTTGTTTTTGTTTTAACAAGAAGCTGCAAGAGATCTTGCTCTCCCCTCCTTTTCTACAGAAATGTAAAAGGATACCCAGGCATTCATAGTTCATTATTCCTGAGCAAGCCACTCACTCACCCCAGTTTAGACTTTTAATCACTATATTCTTATAGTAATTACTCAAACAATCCAAAACTTCATGCACATTCACTGGCAGGAAGCAAAAGCAGTACCTCTTGTGCCGCTTTGAATTGTGTTAATCTAAAACAATAAAGCGTCCCACAATAAAAAAAAAAATCTTTAAAGGCTGAGAGGCAAACATATGCAAACAAAATGTGGTCCTACACTAACTAGACTTGAATTTTCTCCTATTTTCCCCCTCAGTTTTCTCTAGCTATCTGAACTGACGGGATAATTTGGTGCATATATTAGCACTTCATTATGATCCAAATTAGCCGAGTGAGTCACACAGTGGTCACACTGAATAGAAATTAAAATGTGACTCATAAAGTTACTTTAAGGAAAAGAGTGTTAAAAATGAAAAAAAAAAAGTATTTTACTCCATGTTAAAGATAGCAAAACTATTTAAAAGTGTTTATAGCATCAATGAATTTAAGGGTGAAATAAATATTTGAAACTTCTTATCTACTCTCTCAGAACCAAACACTCTTGTAACCTAACAAGATTCTCAACTACTCAGCGTAAACCACTGGTGCCATGTGTGTTTGTGTGTTGTGCACCTTCAGGATTTCAGGGGGTTAATCAGATCAATCAAAAAGAGCTGTATTAAGCTTGCAGTAGAAATATCAAAAGAGGCTATGGGTTTGATTGAGGTCTCTTTCTGAGAGCAACAGTGGGTTACAGATGTGACCTGTTGGTCTCAGGATTTTGTGCCTGCTTGTTGCAATGGTTTTTGAGGGCTCCAGCAAGCCGTGACCTCCAGCTTGCACTGGGGTGGTTTGCAGCTGAGATGAGAATTAGCACTTCCAAGTCAGAGGCCATGGATCTCAGCCAGAAAAAGGTGGAGTCCCCCCTCTGGGTTGATTGAGTTGCTGGCCCGAGTGGAGGAGTAGTACCTTGGGGTGTTGTTCACATGGGAGTAAAGAAGGTTGTGGGAGACTGATAACAGATTGGTGCAACGTCTGCAGCAGTGCTGTACTGGAAGGAACTGAATGTGAAGCGAAGTTATCCATTTACTGGTTGACCTATACGTTCCTTTCCACACCAATGAACGACAGCTCTGGGTAGTGACCAATATAATACAGACACAACCGGTGAAAACGAGGTTCTTCCTGGGTCTCCCTTGGAGGTAGGGTGAGAAGCTCAGTCATTCACGGGGACTCAAACCAATAGTAGGCAGCTGAGGTGGTCCAGACATCTGATTAAGATGCTTCCTGAACACCTCCTTAGTGTGTGTGTTTTTTGGGAATCCTACTGGCAGGAATCCCCAAGGCAGAGCCGGGAGACATGATTATGCAAACTCCTCGTTGTCGTTCCAGTCAAAATGGAGTAGGTGGAAAAGGAGAGGGACATCTAGACATCTCTGCTTGGACTGCTTGAAACCCTGCAACCCAGAAAATGTATCTATGAAACAATGTATTTTACTGTGCTGTTAGTCATTGGGCATTTTGTCAGTGTAAAAGAAGAAGAGCGGGTTTTGTACAATGTGACTGATACATGAAATCTAAATTTTACCATTTAGACCTTAAAAAGCCTTTTCAGCATTTCTGACTGATAATAATCAGTACTGGTTATTAAATGCAATCAGCAAAGCTTATGTATTAACAAATAAGATCAAAGTTTCCCATCCTAACTGTTGCAACAAAATGAACACAACTGCAAAAAAAGATGGCCATCAAGCCAGTTACAGTCCTGAGAAGATGCAGTGTCAATGAGCACATCTGGTCATGGGTGGTGGGTTTCTTTCCTTCTGGACTCTCCTTGTAAAATAGAAGTTATGTTTAGTGTCTCTCACCAACATGTGGTGAGTATTCTTGAGCTCAAGCAGATGTGTAAAGTGCACCATGAGGGCATCATCAAACAAGTGGAAAGCCAATTCGAATGTTTACATACATGTTTAAGATCCACAGATATCTCGGACAGGTTATTCCCCAGTGACGATTCTTAGTGTTTGAAGTTGCTCTAATGAGCTCAAATGACCTTCAACAACTAACTGACAACAAATAACTTGTTCATCACTTGCTGCATACAACTTGATGGTGACATTGTTTAGCAACTGCATCTCTTTATAGAATAAAGTTTAACTCCTGCTTTGTGTTTTCCAGCAACATGATTCGCTGTGAGGGGCTCAAGGAGACGAGAACCTGAGAGGGAACTGCTTCAATGGCGTGGACTGAGCCTCGGTCTCATCAAGACCCACAGCCAAAACCAAAACTGAAACTTTACCATCTCAGAACTCACTCTGCTTCTTTATCAGCTCTCTTTTTCCTCATGATTGCTGCCTTTGCTGGCATCTGTACAGCTGCTCCACCGCGGCCAGCCTTCCCCCCTCTCCTGTCTGGACAGCCTTTTATTATCTTCTGGGGTATCCCTGATTCTTCCTGCTCTGGTCGGCCAGATCCCGGCTCTTTCGGGATGGAACGGGACAGCCGTGTAGCTGTCTTTTATGAAGATACATTGGGGAACTACCCTTACTTTGTAGATATAGACACGCCAATAAATGGGGGACTACCACAGCACACACGGCTGGAAACTCACCTCCAGAAGATGAAGCAGGACTTAGAGGAAGCTCTACCTGCCCCAAGGTACCTTGGTCTGGGGGTACTGCGTTGGGGTGAGTGGGTCCCTCAGTGGTCACGGAGTCGAGAGAAGCAAGCGTTATATGTGGAGGCATCAAAGAAACTGCTCAAGGGTTTTTTTCCTAACTGGACCCCTGCAGAAGTGGAGAAGTGGTCAAAGGTAAGGAAAGTCCAAGGTGGTAGAAATAAAGAGCCACTATGGCAAGAAGAAAAGATGGTGAAAAGGTAAAAATGCTAAGATGAGTTCATTTTAAAGTTCAGGGCAAACTGGGAAGAAGCCAACTTTGTTTTAAGAAAAAATGTTTGATGAAAAATTCAAAAGAAATACTGCTACTAAAAGCTCCACTATGGTCTATTTTGCTTTTGGTTATCACACCAAAGTTGCATCATTAAGCAGGCAAGATTTTAAAGTAACAGTGTAATAAACTATAAAGAGAAAGACAACGAGGAAATGTGAGGAAGGAAAATGTAGAATAAAGTCAGACTGAAAATTTGGTACTTATCTCGTGAGTGTATTTTATGTGATGACTCACTTGGCATCATTTTGTAGCAGAGAGATTATCATTTAAACCTCAGCGTGGCCTTAGAAAATACACAACTTGCATTAATTTAGACAATTTGTGTGAACATCAATATGTGTAAATAAGATATTTTAACCACATATTCACACTTAGCAACTCTAAGCAGTTGTATTTATGTAATAAAACTGCTAAAGAGATTTCAGATGTATTTGGTGTACTATCAAGGCCAGCATGGTAAGAGGCATTTTAGTAAAGGCAGAGAATATTGCTAATAAAATGTCAATCAAATTATAGTATCAACTATTTGTAGTAAACTCTTAATAAATTATTTTAAGGTAATGTATTTAAAAAATATATATTGATTTTGATCTGTTGTAGGTCTCTTCCTGTAACATTATAGTTCTACTGGGTAAACAGTGGCTGGTAACTGCAGCACAACCAAAACTACAATGTACATACAAAGAAATTCATATTAAACAGAAATTTACATTAACTACTTGCATTCAGTCCAGACAGAACCTCATAGATTTGAAACAGAAATTCAGAAATTCATAGTTGCTGCAGGAAAGTAATTTAAATTGCAAAATGACAGAGGCGCTCAGTGACCAAGCTTTTACACAGGAATATAAGCAACCAGCTGTGTCGAATCCCCTATTGCAAAGAAATGTGTCACAGATGAGTTGTGTTTATCAGTGCATTCCCATATGGAAAAGATATATATAAATCTTATAAAGTTTTTATCTGTCTTGTATGAAACTTGTATGAAAAGCATACAAGAGTGAAAACACATATAAGATCCCTTGAAAAATTATATAATGAAACTTGTATGTTTTGTATACTTACTAAAAAAATATATGAAAGTAATGAGAAAGTGGCCACTTTCATGAGTAAATCATATATGCTTTTGCTATTTCTTTTCCATATGGGTTGGCTTCTTCTGGGGAGGCTAGTCTATCAACTGTAGTGTTCCATTGTGTGCTTTTCTATCCATCCAAGCTTTTACTGTATTGGCAGTGTGTTTGGAATCATTATCACACTCAAAAATAAACTGGTGCCAATTAGATGCTGTCTAGATGATACTGTGTGGCTAAAAAAAACCAAACCCCAAATCCTCAAATGTGTTAAGGACACACTGCACACAAGGCTAACATATACCAAGTTTTATTCCAATAACAGTTTAGGAATCACCTTGCTGGTGCAAAAGTACAACTTCATGTCTCTCAAACTGTGTTATATTTGGCATTTTTCATAGATACAACTAAGAAAATGGAAATAAATTATGTGCTTTTGTAAAAGACTACTAGTAACAAAGTGTCAAAAAAAAATACTGCTGATACTGCCAAGAAGTCCTGTTCATTGAGCTGATAAGACCTGCTTGTACATTTCTGTCATCTTGTGTTGTATTTTGTTGTTTATCATCAAATAAAATGTGTCGGGATGATGACGTGCCCAAAGTCTTTTTGGACCACCAGAAATTTCCCCTTAAAAGACATAAAGATCTGCTCATGTTTTCACAGGTGGACTTCGAGGCAGCAGCCCAGTCAGTAATGATGGAGACGCTACGGGAGGTCAAAAAGTTAAGACCCAAAGCATTATGGGGCTTTTCCCCTTACCCTAGCTGCTACAATAGCGACCCAACTCAAACCATGTTAGCCAATTACACCGGCCAGTGCCCCCCTGCAGAGATGGCTCTTAATGATGAGCTTTCATGGCTATGGAAACGAAGCTCTGCCCTCTACCCTCTCCTCACCCTGGAGAAGCTGCAGGTCAGTAACTTTTCCACGTGTATGTTTTAAGTGAACAGTTTTATTTGCTTGTAATTGCTATTATGTATTGCTATTATGACCCACCTTTATTTGTATGATAAAACTATGATAATAGAAAACATTGTGTTTAGGGAGCACTGAAAACCTAATCACTGTCATGTGTACTTCAGCTTGTCTGTCAGACAAGCAGAGGGAAAACTAGGGAGAAGAGAACAAGTCCCAAAAACTGTTCTCCAGCTCAGTTTCACTTCTTGGGCTGTCAAAATCTACCCGACTGTAGAAAGGCAGCTCCTAGTGTAAAACCAAAAAAAGAAGAAGGTCACGTCTGGTTTGAAACCTTTTACCTGTCAGAGTTAATGCATGCCAACATCTCTGTGAGCTCAGAGATACAGTACCGAGAAGAGCCAAAAAAACCTGAGTGTTTTTGATTTGACAAAGACCAACCAGTTTCAATTCTAAAACGCTGCACAGTAAACACATGTCCATGTCAAGAAGAAACCTGGAAAAGGAGCTTTGATCACCACAAGATGACACCGTTTATTTCTGTTAAAAGTGTGTGCATTATGTTTGCTTTTTTATAGAGTGGGACACCTGGAGCCAGACTTTTTTTATCCAGTCAAATAAAGGAAGCACTACGAATATCTTCTGCAAGCGGGGCAGAGTTTGACCTTCCAGTATTTCCTCTTGTTAAGAGTGTTTATGCCTCAACTAACACTTTTTTATCACAGGTAAGACATAAGATACAATGATATACACTTATAGTGCACAGCAAACATATTTTACTTAAATAGTCAAGCAAAACATAAACAGATGAAGTGCAGAAGTTAATTCCAGTGACATATTCCAGTTTAAAATGTAATCTCAGAAAATGTGTTTTTCTGTTGCTTCACAGCTTCCTTATGGGATTATGATTCATGGCTTAATAAACAGATAGTTCCACTGTAATATACACTGAATATTACAAAGCCATTGTATTGACCTTTCATGGCTTAATTTATTGCACATTTTCTTCGTCTTTTTGTTACAGGCTGATCTGGTCAGCAGCGTAGGAGAAAGTGCTGCCATGGGAACAGCAGGAGTTGTCGTGTGGGAGAGAAGTGAGATTAAAACAGAGGTACACACTGTGCATAAAGACCACAGCATGCTCTGCACCCTCATTACTTCTGAAAAATGTGGGACACGGTGTGAAATATAAATAAACAGAAAACAGTGATTTGCAAATTTCATAAACCCATATTTTACTTCAGTAGAACATAAAAATATGTCAAACTGTGGAAATTTAAAAAGAAAAAAACATTGGCTCAGTTTAAATGTGATGGCAGGGGTGAGGGCAGCAAACGTCTAGAAAAGGGAAACATTAGGTTAATTAGGTAAACTGGCCACAGGTCAGTAACGTGATTGGGTATAAAAAGAGCATCTTAGGTCTTAGAGAGGTGGAAAACATTCCACAGCATAAAACTGTGAAGACTTTTAGTATCGAATCATCTACAGTACATAATATCATCAAAAAGAGTCCAAAAACTTTGAGAAATGTGTGGGTGGAAGGGACAAGACCAAACATCAGTACTGGATGGTCATAATATTTGGGCCCTCACACAACCCTGAATTACAAACAGGCTCGATTCTGTCATGGAAATCAGCGCATGGGCTCAAGAACACTTCCAGAAATCATCGTCCGTGAACACAGCTCACCCTGCCATCTACAAATCCAGGTTAAAGAGATATGTGAGCACAATCCACATATCCTCTCCGGGCCAAAGCTCATTTAAAATGGACTGAGGGAAAGTGAAAAACTCTTCTGTGGTCAGAGGAATCGAAAATCTGTGTAGAAAAAATGGCTTCTGTCCTCGGGAATGAAAATAAGCAGAACAATTCAACTTGTGATCAGCACTCAGTTCAAAAGCCTGCATCCCTGATGGTATCAAAATTCTGCTCTTGCTCTTGACGAAGGCGGTCGCACTTTTCTCCTCTCCTCCCCTCCCTTAGCTTCCCTGCTTAGCCTCTTATGTCCTTGTCTAGTCTCGTATTTTTTGTATTACTTTTCCCTGGGACACTCTCTCACAGTCCGTTCTCTAAAACCTACAAGAGAATTATGGATTTGATCAACTGGTCCCTGAATGCAATTGACACCCCTTTCTCAATGAGAAGTTTGGGCTTGGGTGAGCCTGAGTGCTGAAGATATCTACCTATTCGGAACCATGATAACAAGGTTCTTGCTGATCGGAGCTGGCTTGGCCCTGACTTATCGAAGAATTAAGAGAGCGGAACCGGCTGTTCAAACCCCCACAAGACTGCCCGCTGGGACTGAAACGATGGGACGAGGCGTGAGTTTCTCAAAATGGGCTCATTGAGTCAGCAGAGATAAGATCTTGGAGAAGCTTACGGCTGCCGTGAATACTCAGAATAAGACCTCTGAGTGCAAACTGGATTACATCTTGGAGGGGCTCGCTCGGAATAACACCTCCGAGCGCAAATTGGATGACATCTTGGAGAAGCTCACTGCAGTCGTGAGTTCTCAGAATCGGCTCTTTGAGCACAAGAATGACAACATCACGGAGTGTAAGTTTGATAACATCATGGAGAAGTTCGCGGATCTCCAACGGGAGATTGAGAGACCAGTGTCGGACTGTTAGAACAGCTTTGAAATTCATGAGCTGTTCGCACTAACGTAAAAACCACCATCACTTCAGCTGCGGTCTCAAGGCTGGAGCTGAACAACAACACCCTGATAATGGACTGTGTTTAGACTGTTCTTCCCATTCTATGCAAGGCCACCTGGGTTGGCTGGAAGACTAATGTGGGACTGATAAAGGTATATCAAAGTATGGGGGTGCATTAGTGATGGGAGCTACAACCCTAAATCAGACACGAATAAGACAACATTCCTCTCCGGCAACTGGTCTCCTCACCTCCCATATATTTTTATGTTTGCATTTCAACTTTTGTGGTCTGCTATAATGCTTAACTTCATAAAGGAAACTTTCAGAGAGTTTCGTCCATTTTCCTGTTTACATCAAACTGCCTCTCTTTTTCCAGAGAGAGTGCCAGGAACTGGCTGAGTTTGTCCGTAAGGTCCTGGGACCCTACTCCATCAATGTTACCACAGCAGCTCGACTCTGCTCAGCCTCCCTTTGTCAAGGAAGAGGTAGATGTGTCCGTCAAAATCCAGAAAGCTCTGCCTATCTCCATCTCCCACCTCCATCCAGAGTGGCTGAAAAGGTGAGAAAATACTATTTAAAGCCATTTAAACTTCAGCTTCCTGCATGTCAGGAATGAACTATGTAGTAGTCGCAGTGAAATCATGTTTGTGGAGAAAGCTGACAAACACATTGTGGTACCAGAGGCTATATAATAAAACCTAGATTTCTACAACTGATTCACAAAGTCTGCTTACTGTAGTTTACAGGGACGCAGTGATGCACGCTCCTAACCTGCTGCATGTTTGAAAAGTTGGAAACATAAAAGCTAATTTTGAAGAAGAAAAATTTAAAGTAAACCAGGTATGCTTTATCAGGGGGAATATAAACTAATGTCAGAGGGAACAAAAACAGCAGGGAGTTTGACCGCTTGAGGATATTCTGTGTTCAACAGACAAGAAGACGGCAGCTAAGATGCAAAGGAGGTGGATGCAGTGGAGTCTGATCCTCCACAGCAGGAACACCGTGTTATTTCTCTGTAAATGACTAGATCAGGATTTCACAACACTCAATACACACGGTTAGGTGCATACACCTAATGGCAATGATGCTTTTTTGTAGTTTTTCCTCTGCTCACCATAACATTGGATTTTAAATCAAACAATCAACACGTGATTGAAGTGTAGACTTTCAGCTTTAGTTCAAGGGTTTTCGAAAAATTTTGCATTAACTTCATTAATATGAAGAACAGCTGTTTTTATGTATAGCCCCCATTTTCAGAGGATCTAAATCAAAAGGTTAGACTAATGTAATTTTAAATATTATATTAATGATTGTTTTTAACACTTGGATGAAAATCAGTTGGAGTCTGAATACTAAAATCCATGTACATTACCCAGCGCTGGGATTCCTCCCTTGAGATGCTGTTATCATTTTACTGCAGTCATCTTCCACTGCTGCTTGTTTTAGACTGTCTGTATTCAGTTTATTCCTCCGTCGCTGAAAATCACGCTCTGTTGGCTTGAGATCAGTTGACTGACTTGTTGCTTAAAGAATGTCCCATTTCTTTGCCTTTAGAAACTCTTGGGTTGATTTTGCAGGATGCTATGGGTCATTGTCTATTTGCACTATTGATGCGCTGTCTGATCAGTTTCTCTCCTTCTCCACACTTTTCTCTTTCCATCATTGGGAAGAGAAAAGTGTGGAGAAGGTGTCAAGGTTTGTTAGCTTCATCTGAGTCTGCATGCTTCGG